TTTACTTCACAGTAGGAAAAGCTTCCGGGAGAAAGATAGTATGTAAAGTACCCACAGGTGAGAACCAGTGAGGGGGCACTTGGGAATTTAGAAGAGCTGGGGCAGACGAGCCTGCAGAGAGAGGCAGGAGCGGACACGGGCGATGTTGATGCAATCATCGGCCTGCCCGCAAACACTCTTCTTACTCGGTTGAATTTTGTCATTTAGGTATCAGAAAGCCACTGAAGACTGTAAACAAGCAATTGATGGGATCTGATTTCAGTGAGCAAGATGAACTGAAGGCGGGGAGTCAGGAGAGTAAACGAAGGCAGTCTAAAGATCCGGATGAATGAGTAACGATGCCCATTGTAACTAAGGGAGTGGCAAAGAGGGTGGAGAGAAGCAGTGCCATTGAGAAAGGTTTAGAATCCTGAAAACTGGGCTGTGTGATGGCTCAGTGCTTGCATTGCAAGTGTGAGGATCAGAGTTCAGATACTCAGGACTCACAAGCAAACCAGGTGGGCCGTCTGCAACCCCAGTGCTCAAGAGGCCAAGACAGGGCTCTGCAGAGCAAGGTGGTTAGTGAGATTAGCTGAGTTTGTGAGTTCTGGGGTTCTGGGGTCAGCAAGAGACCCTGCCTCAGACAAAGTAGAGAGAGATTGATGGAGACAGTTGGCATCGGATGCTGTATCTATCACATTATGACTTGAGTCCCCTCATGTTTATTATAAATACTCAACATTTGGCAACTGTTTGGTGAATTGAGTCAGGACACTAGCTTCTCACGGAAGCATCACAATGGTAAGAAGAGCTAGCAGACAGAATGAAGGTGGGCTAGAGGCTTACTCAAGGTAACCCTGCTTAAAGAAAGCCCATTGGTTTTTAGAAAGTAATCCCCTCCTCTTAAAGGGGAAGAGAAGATGCAGAAGGAAGAAAATTTGGAGGTATTCATTATGGATACTTAATAATTGAAGCCTTCACACAAGTTTAAAGATATCTGGATTCTCTTGAAAACTAAAAACTCAACAACTTCAGATCCGTGGTCAAACTAGCAATGACCATTCAGAATTGAGCAGCAGCAACTGCCCTTCGGTCTCAGGCATACTGCAGCCCCTGCAGCCCCACTGACCTCTCTTGTTACCCCTGTCTGCCCTTCCCACACTTCAGCTACTCCCCTGCCCTCCCCACACTTCAGCTACTCCCCTGCCCTCCCCACACTTCAGCTACTCCCCTGCCCTCCCCACACTTCAGCTACTCCCCTGCACTTCCCACACTGCAGTCGGACCACTGTTCCCACAACCGACCGGAGTCAAGATGATGACACTCTCCATAAATCCCTGGCTTTCCCAAGGCTGCCTTCCCTAAAGCAGGCTCCTCTGAGCCTAGGGGTTACCTCACCCTGCTAGCACTCCTGGCTAATTTGGGGATCACTATCCATCAGTTCACAACTCTGTCATAGAGGGCTCCCCTCAGCCTCTCTAGCACAAATGTTACATCTCATGTAGGCCAACATATGCATCATCCCCTGGGCTTCTCCCTTACCCCCAGTCACAACTTAGTGTTCTTACTCAGAGGGGCCGCACCATATTTAAAAAAAAGGGGGGGATTCCTTCCTAATATTAACCACATGTATCATAAGGGCTATTTTCAAAGCCCTTCTCTTTCGCTGGTTTGTAAGAACAGTGTCCTGTCTTCTCCCTGCCTAGTGAGCACTGTATCCTACCTGAACACGTGTTTAGAGAGTAGATAGGGGTTGTGGAACTGACTCAGTTGGTAAAGTGCTTGCGTCACCAGTGCAAGCACCTGAGTTTGGATTCCCAGAAGCCACAGAGAACACTGGCCATCAGCACGTGGGGAGGTAGAAGGCAGAGATAGGGAGACACTCAGGAGGAAGACCCCTGGAACATTCTGGCCAGCTAGCTTAGCCTACTGACAAAGATACAGGACAAGGAGAGGCCTGATCTAAAACAAAAGGTGAAAGGTGCTTAAGAAGAAATGACACCCAAGGTTGTCCTGTGTACGTGCTTCTGCACATTTGTGCACCTACACATCTGTGCATACATGAGTAACTATGAAGACGGAGTTCTTTAGGGAACCGACATCTTTCTCTTTCTTTCTTTCTTTCTTTCTTTCTTTCTTTCTTTCTTTCTTTCTTTCTTTCTTTCTTTCTTTTTTTTTGAGACAGGGTCTCTCTGAGAAGTCCTGACATCTTGGAACTCACTATGTAGATCAGTCTAGTCCTGAAATCACAGATAATCTGCCTGACTCTGCCTCCCAAATGCTGAGATTAAAGGTGTGCAAAATTATGCCCGGCTTTAATAATGTTTTATGTGGTTCTACATTTGTGTTCTAATGCAAAGCACAGCTGTCACGTGACTTAACACGAGATGAGCAGAATCTCAAGAGGTACTCACTCCAACAGCACTTGTCCCACCCTACTCTAGTCCTGGCTCGGGGAGGGGGACCTTTGCTAAAGTGGTTCTAGTAAAGGGAGGGTTCTAGGAAAGGGAGATTAAGATCCCTACTGCCACCTATTGTCGAACATTCACAGTGCATGGAGCTAATGGGTCACAGAGCTGAGGTTACAGGATCCTGTGACAAGGAGAAGGGAGATAGCAGGAGAAATCCCTTCTGCAGGGACTGCGGGTCTGGAAGGTGGAATTTTAGCTCCGCAATAGCAACTCTTCTGGACGGGATGTACAGACTGTATGGTTTGTTGGTTCAGGGAAACAGCGAGAGGCAATCAGTGCTAACCACTGAAAGGTAGAACAGACGTGACCAAGGAAGAAGAATGCCCAGAGGATGTCGGTGAGGAAGCCCATTTGTAGCCAAAGTGGGACTTAATTACTCATGGCTTGCTTCCTGGCTGCTCAGTGTTGCTTCCAACAGAAGCAGCTCCCCACATCAGATACCACCACTCCCTCAGTCCATTTCAGAAAGCGGAACTGACCTTTAACTCGCTAGTAAGACTCCTGCTTTGAGCAGGCAGCGTCTATTTTCATGCCAATAACACTGTACCAAAGTTCTTCGAAGCAGGTGTGTTGCAAGTAGGTCAAACAGCCAGTCTGCCTCCATCCCTTCTTGCTTGACTGCTAACTGCTTTCTGGATAGTCTGGCCAAATCTGAACAACGGAATGAAGCTGTGTTATGAACTCAAGATTCATTTATTTCTAACGGTAACCATTTTCATCATGTGCTCTATGTTTATTGTAGAAAAAATTACAAGTATTAGTAATCAATACACAGAATTTATAGAAGAACTATCTGTGATCCTTTAGATAAGCCTTCCAGAGTTGGGGTGTAGTTCAGTTGGCAAAGAGCTCACACGGCGTACACAAAGCCCCCCACCACCCCGCTTTAGTCCCTAGCCCTACAAAAAAGTAGGCGTTAGTAGCACACACCTGTAATCTTAGCACTTGATAGATGGAGTTAAGAAGTAAGAAATTCAAAGTTATCTTTAATTATATAATGAATTCAAGGCCATCTTGGGCAACACAAGATCCTTTCTTTAAAAAAAAAAAAAGTCCTCAGGGGTGGTGTTGGTGCATGCGTTTAATCCCAGCACTCAGAAGGCAGAGGCAGGATTTTTGTGAGTTCAAGGCCAGCCTGGTCTATGAAGCAAGTTCCAATATAGTCAGAGCTGTCACATAGAGAGTTCCTGTCTCGAAACCCTGCCCCCGAAAGTATCTAAGCATTTTAATAAGCTGTCTCACTATATTTTTATCTATGAGTGAATATTTGTATTTTTCTGATGTCTCTTACATATTTAATGTCTTTTCATATCAATAAGTACAGACTGACATCACTCTGGGGTGCGTTGTTATAAACAAAGATGAACTACCCTTTAACCACCTCTCGCTGGCTACTTGCTATTCCCTGTAACCCCGGCACCCTTGTACATACATCAGGTCATTTCTTTAAGATTCATTGCTAAAAGTGAATGGCTGGACTAAAGGATGTAATCATCTTCAGGATTTCAACACTTTATACTAAACTAAAACGCTATCCAGAACTATTGCACCACGAAGTCCTCCCTCCAGCTGCACAGGGATGGGCCAATGCCTTCTTACCCTCACCAACCCAGCATAGACACAGTATGTCTGCATGTCATACGTATGTCTACATACATACATGTCATACATATGTCTGTATGACTTTGCATGTCAGGCACAGACAAAGTAACATAAAACACAATCCTTACAGGGAGAGGGAAGATAATAGGGAAGACAACATTTATAGGCTGGGGAGCTGAGACTGCAGAACATGGGTATTCTAAACACCCAGAGCCTGGGTGTCACGGTCACCTTATGCAGGTACCATGGGAGACTTGCAAGGGTAGGCTAATTGTGAGGCTAGCTTCGCAGGGTCACCAGGGATGACCTGAGGCAAGGACAGGGACATAGTGATAGAGAGATCTAGGTAAAGAAATGGTCCCGTGCATGAATGTTTGCTGTTTCAAGAACAAACTAGAGGAGGAAGTTGGAGGGGAAGCTGGGCCAGAGCCACAGGCTAACACTGAAGACAGAAGCCTGTTCTGATCCTGAACTGCTCTCTGTGCTAAGTCAAGGACTTTTAACTTTACTTGGAAAACTAGGTGAAGATGACAAGTGAGAACTCATTTGTGAGATAGGAGTTGGCAACCAAACCTATTGATAGATATTGATACTAGACTTGAGATTTTTTTTTCATTTCCATTGATTTGGGAACCACTGAACCTCTATGTCTGATAGGATAAATAGACTGCCCAGAACCCTTCCAGCTTTAAATACCAATTTCCTTGTTAAAAAACAAAACAACAGGGCTGGAGAGATGGCTCAGCGGTTAAGAGCATTGCCTGCTCTTCCAAAGGTCCTGAGTTCAATTCCCAGCAACCACATGGTGGCTCACAACCATCTGAAATGAGGTCTGGTGCCCTCTTCTGGCCTTCAGGCATACAAGCAGAAAGACTATTATATACATAATAAATAAATAAAATAAATATTAAAAAAAAAAACCTTTAGCTCTTTTTTTTTTCTTTCCAGAAAAAGTGGCCATTAAGATTCTGGACAAGACCAAGTTAGACCAGAAAACCCAAAGGCTGCTCTCCAGAGAGATTTCCAGCATGGAAAAGCTACACCATCCCAATATCATCCGCCTTTACGAAGTCGTGGAAACCCTGTCCAAGCTCCACCTGGTGATGGAGTATGCAGGAGGCGGGGAGCTCTTTGGGAAAATTAGCACCGAGGGGAAGCTTTCTGAACCAGAAAGCAAGGTCATCTTCTCCCAGATCGTGTCGGCCGTGAAGCACATGGTAAGCGGGGAGGCCCCCACTCTGCCTGCCGGGGGGCCCCTATTCTGCCTGCCGGGGGGGGGCCCCACTTCGCCTGCTGTGGGGCTTCAACTCCGGGGATGTAGGGCTTTGATTTGTTATCACATAGACACCACAGAGAAGGTCGGCTCTGCAATAGCGGACAGCTGACCCTTCTATAAGTCAGAACTTTAGCTGGGACCAGGGTTCTTGCCTCTGAAGCAATATTCAGGATCTTGGTACCCAGCAGGCTTGTGGCTCCTTCTGAAGTTGGCAGGAGCCTATCAGAGAAGCCAGATGAGCGTCCTTCATTTACTGCCCACCCATTTAGCTTGTCACCTTTCCTTGGCCCTCCTTTCCTGTACTGGATGCCTGTATACCTCATCTCAGAGCTCACATTTCAGTCCTGGCCATACTTCCCGACCAGCCCAGTTCCCCTCTCCCTTCCTGAAATTCACTTCAGTCCCAGGTCAACTAACACCAGACTTTCTCATCTTCAGTGACCGCCATCTCACTCTTCTCCCCCCCCCCCCGCCCCCACCTAGTGCTTACTGATTCTCTGCTCCACGTATTGACGCCCAATTAAGTCATTCTTTAGTTCTCCAATGATTTTTTTATAAAGCTGGATTTTGTGACACACACTACCTGACTTCTCCGAGAACTGTTTCTTCTGTGTGCTCGCTCGGGCCCCACCGTACTGCTGGGCACATAGCGGGAACTTGTGTACGTAACTACCCGCTGCCAGGTAGGAGAGCACCAGGCACTCCAGGAGATGGTGCAGACACGGGTCCACAGAAGCCCTGTGTCCTGCCGTTGCTCCCTGCAGTCTGGCCTCTGAAAAGAGAAAGGCTGAAGGGCAGTCATAGATGTCACTGGATTTGTGTGCAAAGACCACGCTGATGGGGCTGGAGAGATGGCTCAGAGGTTAAGAGCACTGGCTGCTCTTCCGGAGGTCCTGAGTTCAATTCCCAGCAACCACATGGTGGCTCACAACCATCTGTAATAAGTTCTGGTGCCCTCTTCTGGCCTGCAGGCATACATGGAGGCTGAACACTGTGTACATAATAAATAAATAAATCTTTAAAAAAAAAAAAAAAAAAAGACCACGCTGAGCATCCAGCGTTGTAATGGTCCTCACAGCAAGCAGCCTTCTGAGGCGCGCACCAGCATCGCACTTTGTGAAGAAGTGCGGTTCGTTTGACACGCTGATGGAATTGAATGTAAATTTGACCAGTTCTAGCTTGCAAAGCCTGTTTTGTTACCCCCAAGGACTCATTGGGACAAATGACATTAAACCTTTACCCAAGCCTTTAAAATAAAATAGGTCAAAGTTCCCAAGACTATTGCCTGAACTTAGAGTGTAAGGGCAGGCAGGGACACGTACTGACAACACATAGCAAGAAACCTGCCAAATTCAACCCCCTCCTTTTGGCTAAATTATATGAGCCCACCCAAAGGAGTATGACCAGGAGGATGGAGCAGGCTCCAAGACTTCCTGACTCTTGATCTCAGTCAAGGGAAAACTGAGAAAAGCCAGGTAAGACCTCCAAAAGGAAGGCTCATTATTTGATTGTGTCTCAGAATTGTGCAGTTGCATAAGAGCCAGGTCTTTTGTTCTGGCACGAACTCCAGAGTCTGCATGGCACAAATTCCAGTAGCCACCGCACAGAAGACTCAAACCTTTGGTCTACTTTTGGGGGTAAAGGCATTACACTGGGTTAAAGGTTGTGTTAGTTTCCTAATATGATTTAAGTTGTTCCTATTGAATTTCTGTGTCTATGCCAGCACCGTCACCCACTTCTCTGTTGCAGAAAAACGGATCTGTTTTCTATTTTGCCATTTACCTTAAAATTGACCGTCTCCCATGTTTCCTTCACAGCATGAAAACCAAATTATTCACAGAGATCTGAAAGCGGAGAATGTGTTCTATACCAGCAGCACATGTGTGAAGGTGGGAGATTTTGGATTCAGCACCGTAAGTAAAAAAGGCGAAATGCTGAACACCTTCTGTGGGTCTCCACCCTACGCCGCACCCGAACTTTTCCGAGATGAACACTACGTTGGTGTTTACGTGGATATCTGGGCCTTGGGTGTCCTTCTGTACTTCATGGTGACAGGTACGATGCCATTTCGAGCAGAAACGGTGGCCAAACTAAAGAAGAGCATCCTCGAGGGTACCTACAGCATCCCCCAGCACGTGTCAGAGCCCTGCCACCGGCTCATCCGAGGAGTCCTTCAGCCCGTACCCACAGAGAGGTATGGGATCAGCTACATCATGAACAACGAGTGGATGCGAGGGGTGCCGTACCCCACCCCTTTGGAACCTTTTCAACTGGACCCTAAACATTTGTCGGAAACCAGCACCCTCAAAGAAGAAGAAAGTGAGGTGAAGAGCACTTTAGAACACTTGGGGATTACAGACGAGCATATCCGGAATAACCAAGGTAGAGATGCTCGGAGCTCCATCACAGGGGTCTACAGGATCATCTTACATCGCGTGCAAAGAAAAAAGGCTTTGGAAAGTGTGCCAATCATGATACTACCAGAACCTAAAGAAAGGGACCTAAAGAAAGGCTCCCGGATCTACAGAGGCATAAGACACACATCTAAGTTCTGTTCAATTTTATAAATGATATCAGACAGCTGGCAACTAACCACAAGTTTCTGCTTTTAACTTTTCTCATAGACAACTTGGAAACGTTTTTGTAATTTTTAAATAAAATTCAAATTTGAGATATGCATACCGCCCCCGCCTCAACCAGAATCTCTTAGCCTAGATTCTGACTTGCCTCGACATCTTTGTCTTGTCGTACTTGAGTATTCTCTCATTTAGTGGAGAGACGTTACGTATTTAGGGCTGGGTGCCAGGCACCGTTTAAGGTGCCGAGGAGATAGCAGAGACAGTCCCCTTCTCCTGCGTGTAGGAAGACAGATATCCTTGCTAGCCGCTATTTTTGTTTTTAGAGGAAAATGACAGCTAGAGGGAGATGCCATGCCGACTCCCGCAGGATTGCCTAATTCTAGAAGCATGCTGCTTTGGATTAGACCTTTAAGGAGGGCCACCTGAGTTGGAAGACAGTGTGAGAACCAAAGGAGTAGCCACAGTGACTTGGAAAAGGCGGAGATTGTGCCTACTAGCCAGGGATATAAATTAGATTCCTCCAAACAGGACCAGTGACAAAGGCTTTCACATGGTTTATTTGGAGAGAGATCCCACAGCAGAGTAGCAACAGACAGAAGAAACAGCAACAGACAACTCAGAGACATTATCAAAGCTGGCCAGTGGCATAGGTGACTGCCATTCAGTCCCGGGGGTCTTGAGAGGCATCGTGTGTATCACATCTCAAGGGGCTGCCCAAGGTATGAAAGGGGAAAGACTTATCAGCCCTCGTTCACCGTTGGGCAAGGGTAGTCAATGACATCACCTACCCTCACATTTCCAGAAAGTGCTGGGTGAGCACCAAGGGATTTCTTTGTCCTTCTCAGGCCTCTGCATCAGAAAAACCTTAGAGAAGGCAGGAAATGGCCACAGCAGTGGCTTGAGGCAGTGTGCTGTCAAACAGGGTCTCTGTGAAGCCTTCCATCTTGCGTGGAAAGGGTTGCTAGCCTCGGTGGCGGTGGCTGGAGGAAGCACTAGGGCAGGGAGGACCTGACGTGGTACACAGAAGCTAACATGGCCTTTCTGGACACCCCTCTCCACATCAGTCCCTCTGTTAAATAGATTCCTTGGAGCGGGTGGTACCTGGAAGGACTCAACCCAGCGAGTTATCAGAGCCGTAACAATGGCTCTCAAACTCCAGCCACCAGGATTACTTAGTTTGTTTTACCAGACCAGCAGGTTCCCCCTCCAGGCCTTTAGATTCAGTGACTCCTTGGGTGGACAAGAGCCTTAACAACCAGTGACTTGAAAGTTTGCTATTCTTTCTAACAACCTAGGCTGAAGTGGATGAGTTGTTTGGGGTCCTAAACAAACCCCAACAAAGAGGATGGTTTCACTGAGACTCCAGTAAGGACTCGTGTGAACTGGAATCTATGACTACATTGACTGTGGCTATTCCTTGACACACTATTAGGAGATATGACTGCTTAAACAACATCCCAGGTGAAGCTGATGCTATTAGTCAGGGGCCAGGCTTTGAGGCTCTCTGAGCTACCATCATTGCTGTGGCCAATCTGGAGGCTCTAACTGGACTCTCACCTGCTTCTCCCATCAGCTACCCTGATTTTTCCTCACCTTTGACCAACATTTGTGCGTGACCCAAACTGTCATCATGAAAGGGTTCGAGTCCTTGCTTGCCCTACCCTTGGTAGACCATAATTGCCGCCATTGCCTGCTCACTACCATCGTTGACTCCAGTAGTAACACACCAGCATCTTCAGGGTTCCCAACACCTTCTTTAGTTCCTTATTACACTTAGGGTCAAGTATCTTCATTAGGATAGCACTTCCATTCTTACCCTGCGAGCCCACTGGCATGGGCAGCCGAAACGATCACGTTAGTCATAGATCCAATTCACAAGAGCCGTTTCATTAGGGTTGCTAGTGAAAACATCCCCCTTACCCCCTGGGAACCCAGACTGTTCATCTACTTCAGCCTAGGTTGTTGGAAGGAATACAAAACCTTCAAGTCACCGATTGTGAAATTAGTCTACCTTCCTTCCAGCCTGATTCCCACACCCGTGATTTTAAAACAGTAAGGGACATGGAAGCCATTATTAAAGCATGCACACCGATCGCTGGAAAACAGCAGACCAATAATGCAGGTTACACATATAGCTGGGCCTTAGGCCACTTGGGTTCTGTTTGCAGCATTCAGGGCTATGGTAATGCAAGGGGGTTCTGTAGTCCTTGATACAGTGTTGAATGAGATAAAAATCAAGTGTGCTCTAGGACAGTGGTTCTAGCCTGTGGGTCGTGACTCCTTGAAGGGGGGGGGAAGCAATGATCCTTTCACAAGGGTTGCCTAGCACCATCGGAAAACATAGATATTTACATTAAGATTGTTAACAGTAGCAAAAGTAATTATGAAGGAGCAAGGAGAATAATTTTATGATTGGGGATCACTGCAGCACGGGGAACTGTATTAAAGGGTCCCAGCACTCGGAAGGTTGAGCACCTCTGCTCTAGGACCTAGCATGATTATTTGGATGACACACTGCAGGCGAGAGATGCAGAGCCGTAGACCGAGTGGGCATCAATTCCAGTGAAGATGAATTGCTGCTATACTCACGCAGTTGGCTCTGAGGATCTGGTAATGCCCAGATCACAACCTGGTGGCTCTGCTTGCTTGCCACCCAGTGCATTTTGGACGGCCTTAGTGAAGGCACCATCCTTGGGATGTTTGTTCAGTCTTGCATAACGAATCCAAATATTTATACCTCCAGGAGTTTCTCAGAATTTCAATAGTGCGCTAGGGTGGCTCCACCATAGCCACCCATCTGCTGTTTGCCACAGTCACAGTCCAAACCTCATGGCCGCGTGGAGGAATACCAAGATCAGCTTAGATGCCCCTCCCAAGTCCTAGGTAAATGTTGTCACGATGAACACTCCCACAGCCCATCTTATAGTCCCCACTCCACCTTTTCTAACACTTGCGTGTCTGCCCAAATTGACAGTACGTATTAACCAGCTTCTGCTGTTATTTTCTACTTTGGCTGTGTTTAGACTTCACTTTGGTTCTTGGTTCAACAATGGAAACATGAGGACAGGCTCTGGAAGCAGAAAGTCATTACACAGGCATGATTTAGAAGTCCTGGCAGCGTCTCTGGACAAGGAGCTGTCCTTGTCCACCAGAAGACACCTGTTTTGCAACCTTCCCCACTGCACTGACTTCATTTGAAGGTCCCCGTCTTCCTGTCAAACCCTGACTTTCATAAAGGGGAAAGGTAACAACCAGCCTTCTCCCACCCTCAGATGCTGTAGTTTCCTTCTGTAGCAAGAGATGAGGTTCCCCTTACATATTCTTTTAAAGACACTCTGACTTTTAGTATGCCTTTAATTGGTGGTTGACCGACTTGGGGCTACCATTTGTTTCCCAGGCTTCTTAAGTAGGTAGTAAAAGCTGGCCAAACTCAGTCTTTATCTTGGGCCCTCATCTTGTTCAGGTAACCACAGGATCCACCGTTTTGTCTTCCTCCAACACCTACAGATGACAAGCCTTAGTAGTGAACGTTGATCCTACATGTCACGTTTCCATAACCCTGCTTGCCAATACCACGTTCATGTTTTTAGTGTCGCAACAATCCCTTCGCCTGGAGATTCTAGCCAGCCTCTTACTTCTCATGGAAAAGTATGTAGGGACAAGATGCTACAGGAATCCACAAGCTTCAACGCCGGTGAAAAGTGCTTGTTCTGATAAAGGACCTGGCGCCCTGCTTCAGGAAACCACCCGATGAACGTATCTGCAATCCTCTGCGGCATATTACTGCCTTGGTAGAAACCATTTTGAACAAAAAAATCTCAGGTCAGCTCCCTCTTCCTGCAACCAATTACGGACAACAAAAACCAGAGGAACCTTTAAGTTAGAGCTGCTCTTCAAAAGTCTGAAGGAAACTCACTCTGACATTAAGATCAAGTGGTTTCTGCTGGGCACAGTAGCACAAGCCTGCAATCCCAGCACTTAGGAGGTGGGGGCAGGGGAATCAAGAGTTCAAAGCTAGCTTACTAACTTACATGAGACGCTGTCTCAAAGAAAACAGAAGCAATGTAATATAAAATGAAAGATCCCGCTACAATCTTTGCTATACCAATTTCTGTCTCAGTCTTCGGAAGACTCCAGGTAGCAGACAAAAAGACAAACTCTCAGTCAGGTCACATGAGGATCACAAGTAACTTTTCATATCTATTGTGAAGCCCAAACATGAGTATTTGTAAAATTAAAACTCCAGAAACAAACCCCCCCAAAACAACAAAGGAGATTCCCCATAGGACACAGGAAACAGAGTTGTTCTTAGGATTCTAGAACCTGCAAGAAAAGTGACCTAAGAGAAGACTGGACTCAAGGCAGAGTGCTAGGACCGGCCCTGAAAATAAATTATGCGCACTCAATCTAGATCCAAAATGATAACATGAGCTGTACCGTTCTAAAAAAACAACCTGCTGTGTTTGCTAATTCGTAGACTCCTAAAAGGGGAGGCAGAGACCACACATGGGGCACATTTACCTCTGGCGTAAGCAGAGTGTGTTGCTTAAACGGGTTTGGATGTGTCTGAGGAACAAGCAGAAGAGCGGCGAACTGAAGGCTCAGATCTAAAAAGAGCTATCTGCTGACTCCAGGCTCAGAAAAGGAAAGAAGACTCAGATATCTGAAATATTTGCCTAAAACTTTATTTCAAAGGTATTCACCTTGCTGTTAGTAAGGTGTATGGTCAATGCTCCGTGCCAGTATCGCCAGGCTTGCCCATTGCCGGCAATGGACTCTGAGAAAACCCACTTCTTGGCACTCAAACATTAAATTACTTTTCCAAACATACAGAAATCTCAATACTTGCAAAAAGAATGACATGCACTGTTTCCCCACCATCCTTTAAATCTGAACGTACATCATTAATCTATAGCAGTGGATGTTAAAATGAAATCATTTTAACCAATTAAAACTGTACAAATCAAAATTCTACTGGTTAATATTGACAAGAATATATTACAAATGCTACATTACACATTACCTTGCAATCTGAAACATTACACACTT